AACCTGGTATTCAATTATTGAAATTTTGCCAGAATTAAGTAAAATATCATTTTGCATTTACTCTACCCAACACCTGCTAATTCCATTATGTTTGCACTCACTACACTCTGGGTATGAAGAGCCTGTCCTTTTGAGAATCAATTACAATCCATTAGGGCCATCTTTCAAAGGTGGATCAAACACATATGGCATTTTTACTCTAGTGTTGTTTAGTATATTTAGCGGTAAAGTCTGACTTTGAAGTCTGCCTTAAAAAAAAAGGAAAAAGCAAGGGAAAGCTTTGTAGGTTTTTCTTAGGTTCAAAGACAGAATTAAGTTTAATAATTAATTTTAAAATAAATACTGCTTCCTGGATTTTCAAAAATTGTTTAATGTATTGAATCCTCGTTGTCTATCTACAAAGTGTCAAAAGCGTACATTTGATAATTTCATCTAATTAAGCTGCATATTTAGTCTACCACTGACAGATCATTTTTATTTGGTGGAATAAGCTGAAAGCTGGGAGGGTAAAACCAGAGTCTACAATTAGGATTCTGTTCAGGAGTAGCAGAGAGGCAGCTATAAGAGCCCATGATGATCATTTGCAAAAAAAGAAGAGGTAGAGTAAGTGATGACCAAAGTCTTCTGCATTTTTATTATCCAATTTATTTTTTCTTAATTAGTATTCTAGTTATTTAATTTTTCTCTTATTTTAAGGCATACTGGACTCTTTTTTTCTTTATCTCATAATTTATTTTTCTTTCTTCACCCCTTCCTTCATTTAAAAGTGTTTATTTACATAAACCAAGAAATGGTAATTATTATTTTAAAGGTCATAAAGAGACTCTGCATATGAAGTTTCAATTTAATTGAGGGCAACTTACACACCAAAATATATTTACATAGACTTCGCTCCAGTAATTACGTATCAATGTGCACAAGCTATGATTGTCTTATTTTTGAAATTATTCAATTTATAACACCAAATCCAAATATCTATTGTTTTAAACTAAGGTCTCTGTTGGCTCACTTTTTCCTTAAAAAGAGTAAAAACTGAGTGCTGTTACTATTCTTGCAAAACAAACACAATTTGAAAAATGATTAAAGATATTGGTGGCAATTCTACTCATCTTGAACATATTTATAATTAAGCCTCTCAGAATAGTTTCAGACATAGAAACAAAAAATATCATGTGATATAATGTAAAAATAATTCTCCATCAATTCCCAGATGCGGTATACAAAACAGAGGTTTGGTTCAGAAACTGAAATACTATCAGTCTTACTGTGGATTTACAGTAATAGCTAGATCTATCAGATCAAAGAGAAAGAAACTGGAAGAGAAAGAAAAAGTTAACCTGTAGAAGGCATAACACTCATATTGCATCAGTGTGTGTTCTAAGAATCTAATACAAATTTAAGAAATGTCTCCATTTAGATAAATTTGGTCTTCCTCAACTTGCCTGAAAGTTTGTTTTTAGCTTTTCAAAAACCAAAAGGTTTTTTTGGTTCCAGAAAATGAGATCTAGAAAAAAAGTTCTAGAAGAACTTTCTAAAGAACTAGACCATTTGAAAGCATAATATTACTATACTATGTACATATCAATCTTGAAATTTTAAAGGATTTAAAATTCTTCAATAGTCTACTGAATTAATAAAAATATTTCTATATTAATAATTGACTTCTAAAATGAAGGTTAACCAAGCATATGTCTACATAGACCTTTAGGCCCTTAAATGGATGTCCTTCTAGAGAAAAGACTGCAGTGATCCATGTGTCTTTTAAATACTCTGTAAATTTGCCAGCCTCATCATGGCACCAGTGATGTGTAAACATCTTACACAAACACTATCTCAAAGGTTAGTGCTATGCTCTCAAGTTGTTTAAAGTGAAAGCCTTCTTGGTAGCCTATAGGTTGAGTCTCAGTGCTGTCACCCTACAGCTTGAGTTCCACCCCCGGGCAGGGAGCTGACACACATGGCACTGCAGACCTCTCCTGTCTTGCTCACAGCTCTCCTCAGCAGTGGATTTCAGTAGATCTGCCTGTTCTGCTCTTCACTTTGTCTCTGGGGAATCCTCTCACCCCTCTGAGGTGTGAGGCCACACATCTGGCCTACAGCCCAGTTTTTCTGTGCAAAAATAAATAAATAATTAAAATCTTTACAAAATGTTTCAAAATAAATAAATAAAAATAAAGTGAAAGCAAAGGCACTGGGCTCTCCAGATGACAGATATACTGAAGAACAGCACACAACATATAAAAATTGTATTAAAATTAAGGGGGAAATGGATGAAAAAGCCCATATTATTGATTAATAATATCTCCACTAAAATTCTTTTTTTATAATTTTTTTAAAAGATTTTTATTTTGTATCGAAGAGCTGGGGTGTAGGCCAGACATGGGGGGAATGAGAGGATTCCCCAGAAACAGAGTGGGGAGCAGAACAAGTGGATCCACTGAAATCCACTGCTGAGGAGAGCAGCAGGCGAGACAGGAGAGATCTGCTGCGCCATGTGGGTCAGTTCCCTGGCCAAAGATGAAACTCAGGCCACAGCGGTGGGCCATTGTGGTGCTAGCACTGAGACTTAACCCCTAGGCCTCCAGGAGGTCCTACACAAAATTGTTAGGGCTAGTAGCCAACTTTTAGGAAATTCAGGAGTACTATAATTAATATTTTAAAAATGAAGACAGTCTTTTTGCCTGTGTTTCAGACTCCTGAACACGATCATAGAAACACGAGTTTCAGTGCAGGGGTTCATTGTGATGGTAACAAGATGAAACTTAAAACACATACCATAAAATTCCGCTGATAGTGAATATTCTCTTTGTTAAAATCGATAACGTAGCCATTGAAGGACCAGACAAATGTGAGATCCAGGGCGGGGTCAAAGGCAGCAGCGCACTGCATGGTGGCGTTTTCTCCCACAGTGATATCAGCATTAATCGGGGCCAAGATAATTCGTGTAGGATCTGCACATTTTTTAAATAAAGGAGTAAAGCACAATTTAAGAAAATAGGAGAACTATATCATCTGGTACAGTGAAAGCATAACAATCAATAAATTTTGGTTTCTCTGTGTAAAGGCATAAAATGTTTTTCAAATTCAGAAACGATTTCATCAAGTAAGAACTTTGCCCAGGACGCATTTGAAATGGGAACATATCTGAACAATAAGCATAGCACTGAGTCACATATACATTAGAAATTAGCACCAGCAAACTTAAATTATTAATCAAATGCCTTCTTACCTGTGATAACAAGAGTCCCAGTGCTATTAGCCTTCCCTCTATTATTTTCTGCAAAGCATGTATAGATACCGCCGTCATTCCTTGTGATGTTACTAATTTCCAAGCTGCCATCTTCCCAAATAAGTATTCTATTGAATGAAAAAATGCACAATTCTCAATATGAATTTAATAAAACACTTTTTATTGCATCTCTTAATATGAACAGAATCTTTAGATCATTGCATTTTACATAATTACTAAAAAGATTCCCTTTTAAGGTGAAACATTCTAGCCTTTGTCTATCATACTTTCTCAGCATTTACACATTGTTTTAGAAAACCCGCCTTCTGTTTTTTGGGTTTTTTTGGATTACAGCCATCTCTACCTGAACTCCTGCCTCCACCGTTGCCTCTCTGTAGTCTCTTCTCCACCTGTCAGCCAGACATCAGTGTCAGAGTCACATCATATCACTCTTTTGCTTAGTAATGTCACTCTACAGCACAATACTCTGTGACTTTCCATCACATGAATAGTAAGAGTACTTATTCATCATCCCCTACATACTTTCAAATTCAGAAACAATTCTATCGAGTAAGAAATTGGCACCTTGGGTAAATCTTTGCTTTCTCATTCTAGTTAGAATTACATACAAGTGTGTGTGGGGGGGCTGGATTATTCTGTGCCTCAACTATTCTGTGTCTTTGCCTTAATTATTACTTCTCTGTGCCTCTCAGTGTGCAAAAACAGAAAAAGTTTGAGAAAAGGAGCCTCTCATGGCAAAAGTCCTGGTGTAAGGATCTATACATGTGAAAACAACATGTTCAGAAACAGCAATAGATGTTATGGTTAGAGCAGCAAAAACACTAAGGCTTCCCTTGACTCTCTGATTTCCCAGTCTTGGCTGGGGCCAGCTGGTTCGGGTCCCCCACACACTTGTGCATTCCCCATTTGCCTGCTTGCTTCTTTGATCTCTTTTGTTTTCTTTCTTTGTTTAATCTATTTTTTTAATCTAAGGATTTATTTATGCATGCATGCAAGAACTGGGATACAGGCCAGACGTGTGAGGGTGAGAGGATTCACTGTAGACAGAGTGGGGAACAGAACAGGCAGATCTACTGAAATACACTGCTGTGGGGAGCAGCGGGCAAGTCAGAAGAGGTCTGCTGCATCATGTGGGTAGTTATCTGACTGGCCGGGGATCAAACTCATGCTGCAGAGGCTGCAGATAGCTTCGCAGTGCTGTGTTTAATCCCTTACGCCACCAGGGAGACTTTCTCGTTTTCTGTCTTATTCTACATAAAAATTAGGCTGCCCTTTAAGTGGGACTGGATCTTCGTGGTGTAGTTCTCTAGGTTTTCATTGTTCTGCACATGGACTCTGAGTAATCCTTTCTCATCCCACCACCACACATTGTAACGAGACACAAGTGAATGCAGAGATGCACACACACAGAGCATTCCTGCTGTCCTGTCCTCTTTCCCAGAGAGTTTTTCCTAATACGCATGTCATCTGACATACTTCAGTTTTACTTATTAGCTTTTCTTTCCATGATATGGTAGCATCCTGATGTCAGGAATTTGTATCAGCTTGTGCCCATCTCCCCAACAAGTCACATACCTATTAACTCAACTGTTCATTAGAAAATAAGTTTATGTGCCAGGAACACATTAAGTAATGAGACACCAATCACGGAGTAGCATTCAACCGTTATTCTTTTGAAAAAACGAATTAGATAGAGTTAAAGGGAAGCAAGTGGTTTTTCATAAAATGACATAGAAGCCACTGTGGGTCATTTCCAACTAGTCGGCAGCCTGAAAGAAATGAGCCCAGGTCTTCCAGAAATGTGATCTCAGGACGTCAGTTCAGAATTTGAAGTTGGATCATACTGTCATTTCCACAGATACAGAGAAATACCAACTAACTTTATTTTGGAGAACTCAAAGAAAGATATTATAAACCACTCTTAGCAACAGTTTCTGTAACATTAATATTTAGGAAATTTTTCTTTGGATAGAACCTAAATCCACCCCCCTGTCTGTTTCTTTCCTAGAGGCTAGAGACAGAAACTCATTACCTGCAAGTCAATTATATATGACATATGGGGAACATATATTTATTATATAACTATTTTACATATGTCTCACACTTCGATTCAATATTGGCTCGCCTCTCATTGGGTTTTTATTTTCTTTAAATGTTTAATTTCTAATCCTTACATTACCTCCAAAACTTTCTATAGCAAGTGCAAACAATTCTCATTATATTCCATTTTAAGGGGAGATATTGAAAAATAAAAGTATTTTATCTACCTTACTAGTGAATATCTATGTAAGAAAATACCCCAAATTCCACCAACAATATATTTCAAGATTTTCTTTCCCCCTTTTAAGCATTGATTCCATTTCAAGCTCACTTCTGAATACTTCTTTGTTTCTTGAAGAAGAAATGCAGTATCAAAATAATGTGACCATACAAGTAGTTATTTGATACTGTGGATGCTCTGACAATGTGCCTTTAAGTTCTTCAACTGTGAGGAATGTAATTGATCCACTACCTTAGTTGCTGCACTAAGAAATTCATCACTGTGTTTGAGTCAAGCCCGTACTCCCCACAGTTTGCTCTCCATCCATCACTGACTGAGCCCAGAAAGACTTTTACGACAGCTCTGTTCTTGGAAGACAACAGATACCTCTAACAGGCATTTCTGGCTTAAAGACCAGCAGCCGGCCCTACTCTTGAAACTGCACTGCAGTCCAAGTTGCTCCCCCCTGGCCTTCTTCTTTCCCTCTCTCCCTCACCTGGAATCAGATTTGCATAGTAATAGCAACTAGACAGAGAGGGGCAGCAGAACAGGCGGATCTACTGAAATCCACTGCTGCGGGGAGCAGTGGGCAGGAGGGAGAGGTCTGTTGCAACATGTGGGTAAACTCCCTGGCCAGCCAGGGATTGAACTCATGCTGCAGTGGCTGGCAATAGCTTCATAGTGCTGAGACTTAACTCCCCTGCGACACCAGGGAGGTCCAACAACTATTCTTTTGAGAATTTAAACTGACAGTTTTCTCACATGTATTAGATGGCAAGTAATCTTTATCATCTGTGTCATTCATCTCACCTATACTTTCAAATACTTATCCCCTCACACTAAAAGTCATTTTTAATTGGTAAAACACAACAAAGATAACTGAGACTCTGTGGAAAATATAGTGGTTATCAGAGGGGGAAGGAGGTAGGAACAACATTAATGTGTGTTGGCACTGGAGCTCTGTGGGAGGGGCAGGGAGCACATGCACAGTCACAGGCAAAGTTACACTCTCAAAAGTGTAGAATTATGGAGTTAAATGGCCCCCCCTAGTGGCTTAAGGATTAAGTTTCAGTGCTATCACTGCTGTGGCCTTAGTTTGATCCCCAGCCAGGGAGCTGACCCACATGGTGCAGCAGACCTCTCCTGTCTTGCCCATTGCTGCCCTCAGCAGTGGATTTCAGTGGATCTGCCTTCTCCTCCCCACTCTGTCTCTAGTGAATCTTCTCACCTCTGGCCTACACACCTCTGGCCTACACCCCAGTTCTACACACACACACACATACACACACAATGTTATATGAATGAATGGCAAATCAGTAAACTTTGATAAATAAGAATATTTTAGTATTTAAGGACTTGAATATTTTAATAAGAATATTTTAGGAAGTTGATATTCTTTTATATCAGTCCTATTCTTAAGTCAAACTCAAAAACTTAAACATTCAGGACCTCATCTTTATCTTCAGATAATATGATATAGATGGGCATAGAATATTAGCTAGGACAAGCTGGTCTTTAATAAATTAGTCACTATTGTTAGCAAAATTGCTCCAGAGTAACTTCCATCTTATCTGTTAATTGTCCAAGCATAACAACTCTGAAATAAAAAAGCATCCTGGAGATACCATTAGAAAAAATGCTAAGGATAAAGATCAATTCAGAACTTACAGCAATCCATTGGATATAGTTTAACAACTACAAAGAAATTCTGTTGGTGATCTATATCATTTTAGCCCCAAAAGAAATCATAAGATAGAACATAATTGCAACTTATCAAGATTCATGTCTTCTCTCTACAGCTGCATTATAACATTTCACAAGCCACTAATTAGGCACAGAAATAACTTTGCTATGTGGAACCAAATTCTATAATTATATTCATCAGAATGAGATTATAATTGTGTTTAAAAACAGTTATATAGTAATTCAAAATGGATCAAAAACTTGGACATAAGATCTGAAACCACAAAATACATCCAAGAAAACACACAAAACACAATGCTTGCTTCAGTGATATCTTTGGGGACTCAATTTGTTTGCAAGGCAAACAAAAGCAAAAACAAATGAAACTACCCCAAATTAAAAGCTTCTATACAGTGAAAATAATGATCATTAAAATAAAAGGACATATAGGATGGGAAAAAATATTTGCTCATCATATATCAACAAGTGGCTAATATCCAAGATCTATAAACAACTCATATAACTCAACAACAAGAACAACAACAAAAATAACCCAATGAAGAAATGGGCAGAAGAGTAAACACTTCTCCAAAGAGGAAATGCAGATGGCAACAGGCACATGGGAAAATACTCATTATCACTTATCATCAGGGAAATGTAAATCTAAACCACTATGAGATATCATCTTACACCAGTGATAATGGCACATATCAAAAAAAAAAAGTACTGGCAAAGGTATAGGAAAAAGAGGAAACTTCATACAGTATTGGTGGAAAAAGGTTCAACTTTTGTGGAAAACAATACAGAGGTTCCTGAGAACTTTAAACATAGATTTGCCACATGATTCAGGAATCCCTCTCCTAGGTATCTACCCAAAAAATACAAAAAACACAAACTTGAAGGGATATGTGCACTCCAGGGTTCATTGCATCACTATTTGCATAGCCAAGGTAAGAAAACAGCCCAAGTACACAGTGACACCTGTGTGGATTAAGAAGACGGTGTACATATTCACCATGGGTATTAGGTATTAGGAAAACTACTCTTGTCATTCGGTCCAACATGAATGGAACTTAAGGGGGTAATGTTAAGTGAATTAAGTCAGAAGGAGAAAGACAAATACCAGATGACTTCACTCACATGTGGAACAGAAAGAAATAAAGCAAAGGAACAGACAAAAACAAACCTAAACAAATGCTCAAAACCTGACTGCAGAACTGAGAAAAGGAGAGGGAGACACAGAAAGCAAAGGATGATTTGGGCATTGGTGGCAACCAGGTGTGACAGCAGACACGTGAAGAGCAATGTTATCTCAGTAAAGACTGTAATAAGGGCCTTCCCAGTGGTGCAGTGGTTGAGTGCTGGCAGCACCGGTTCCATCCCCAGCTGCCGGTGAGGGTCCCACATGGAACGCACACCTCTCCTGCCTCCCGCTGCTCCCCTCTGCAGTGTATTTCCTCAGTCTGCCTGCTCTGCTCCCCGCTCTGGCTCTGGTGAATTCTCTCACCCTCCCGCGCTTCTGACTGTACCCAGTGCTTGTATAAAAAAATGAATAAATCTTAAAAAAAAAAGACAGTAATAAGTAGCATCTCACTCCTAAATTTTGGGGCTTCTGCCTCTCTGTGCAGTAGAAACTACATGATATAACCAAGGTCTGTACAGCAGCTTGCCTTCCTGAGGAAATGCCAAATTAATGTCTTATAAACTCTAATAATGTGCTAAAAAACAACATTTTAAAAAACAGTTACTTCTTGAATATATTTTTCAATAGAAATGTTTTCTCTAAAAAATTTATTCAAATGTTTTATCCACATTATTTTATAATATTCAAACATACCTCATAAAACACTACATTTGTTATAAATTGGTACTTAACTAATTCAAGCTACTAATGAAGAAAAAGTAGGGCAGACTCTTTCACCACGAAGTAATATGATTTGATTCAAAGACTTTAAAGTATTACAACAGGATTACAATATAGATTTTAGGAATGAGGCTTTTTTTCTTTTTCTGAACATGTGTTGATATTTTAGGAAACCCAATCCACGGTTTGAGAAATCCTTGTTTGTAGAAGTTCATGATTTTGGTCTTCATTAGAATCAGAGCACAATTTTTTTTAATATTTATGCATTGAAGAACTAGGGTCTAGACCAGAGATGTGGGGGGTGGGAGGGTGGTGAGAGAATTCACCAGAGATAGAGTGGGGAGAAGAACAGGCGGATCTACTGAATCCACTGCTGAGGGAGCAGCAGACAAGACAGAAGAGGTCTGCTGCACCCTATGTGAGTCAACTCCCTGGCCAGAGATCAAACTCAGGCCATAGCCATGATAGCACTGAGACTTAACCCCTAGGCAACTAGGGAGGCCCCTGAAATAATTTTTAATTTAAAAAAAAATCTTATTTTCTTCACTTTTTACAGAATACGTTCAAAAATTAAAATTATCTTATTCCTCCCTTATTTAAGCATCAAGGTAATTTCCTATTACTTTGCATAGAAAATGCTATTATTGACAATGTGAATTACTAGGTCTCATCTCTGAAAACTCTCTCCATTTTTGTTTAAGAGAAGCCATGTTGAGACTCCTCATGCAGTTCCTTAACACCCAGACTCTCCCACTTAGGACCTCTGCATGTGCTGCTATCACTGCCTGAAATAGCCTCTACTCCCCAACCTTCTGTCACACTGCTCCTATTTGCCATGTTAGCTTTTTTCTCCTCACACTTTTATGCTCAAACTATTACTTCTTATTTTTCATTTTTTTAATTTATTTTTCTTTAATTTTGCATGGAAGAACTGGGGTGTAAACCAGAGGAGCGGGGGGTGAGAGGAGTCACCAGAGACAGAGTGGGGAGCAGAACAGTCAAATCTACTGAAATCCACTGCTGAGGGGAGTAGCAGGTGAGACCGGAGAGGTCGGCTGTGCCCCCTGGCCAGGAATTGAACTCAGGCTGTAGAGGTGACAGTGCTGAAGCTTAACCCCTAGGCCACTAGGGAGGCCAAAATATTACTTTTTATAGAAAACTTGTACAAACTATACAGTGTGCTTTTTATACAAATAACCTATGCAAATAGCATGTTTTTGCTTTGTACCAGTCATAAAAGACTGGTCTACTTGCGAGGAAGATGAGAATTTTATGTTAACTTAAGAAGATGGGAAGAGATGATTTGTACTTTTAAATCACCTCTTCATTTATCCCATTGAGGACTCATTTCATATTGGAATATATAATAGGCCAAATCCATAAAATTAAACCAAAAGTGAATGTCCTCATTAGGGAAAAATAAATCAGAGAGATTTCATTTTATTTTCCATTGTTTATTTTTTTGTGGCCTTGGGCAATTTACCAAAAATCTCTGAGCTTCAATTTTCTAAATTACTTATAAATTACATGAGCCTGAATCTGAATCCTGATTATAACAGATGCTGACAGTGAAGGGCAAGTATTTCTGTTCATCTTAGAACTACAGATTCTTCTGTGGAGCAAAGTCATAAAAAACATTTACATTATCAATATGAAAGCAAGTCCTCTACAAAATAAACTACTGAAAAATAGAATTTTAATTGGATTTCTAATTTCTGAACTGACCTGCTGCTATTGACAAGCCATTCTGTCCCTTTACTCCATGAAAATTTGGGTTTAGGTGCAGCTTTGGGTTTGCATTCAATTATTACCCTTCCTCCTTTGGCAGCCAGGATCTTTTTCTTCATAGGATTCATTTCAAAAGTCGGAGCCAAAGCTAAAAGGAAAAAATGATTATTTTTTCTCTTTTGCTACAAAAAAATTTCTTCTGTACTATAGAATGCTTTATTCTCATTTGATTAATAATCAATGGGAAAGATTAATCTCACTAAATATTATTAGCTATGATCAAAAGATATTCCACACCTATCACCTTCATTCTTTTATTTAATTTTATTGAAATGTTTTACTTATAAAAATCACTCCAGTTTAAATGTTCATTTCTTGATGATAACTGTATTAATTATTACAGACTTTAGTTACAACCAAATTCAGTATAAATATTTACCTTGAAAGTGACATCCAACTAAATTGTTTTGACTCAATTGCACAATGGAAATGAAAGGCTAGAGGGATTGAGCACTAATATTAACATTGACATGGTCATCAGCAGTATTTTCAACCACACTTTAAACTGCTTACATTTTTCCAATGAGAGACTCAATGCCTATTAAGATTACATAATTTGCCAAAGCTGTCCCAGGAAGAATCAGGTGGGATTCACATTTGAATCTAGTTTCTTCTGATTCACCAGCATGCTTTTTTTATTACATAATAGGACATCTTTCATTACACAAACATTCACTGAAGGCCAACTGTGTGCAGACATCTTGAAAAAATAAAGAGAGATCTTTTCTTCAAAACCTACCTACCAACAGCCATGGGATGATGGATGCATTCAATTAATTGAGGACCACCTGAACCACTTGGAGTTCATCCTTACCTCAAAGTACCGAACAATAATTATGAAAGCAGGACATAGAGTCTTACAAAAGTTTCCTCCATTGATGACATGTATGGTGGTTCTCAATCTTCTGTCAATTATCAGACTCCAGAGGGAGTCCACCTACTCTTTCTGCACTTTCCAGTTATCTGTAACTGTGTCCTTTCTGCAGCCTACATTAAGTATGTCTTCACCTAGTGTTTGACACTATCATCTAGTGCAATGAGTCTCATGCTTTGTCTGTGCATCAAATTCAACTGAGGGTCTTATTAAAATATTGATTCAGTAGGTCTGGGGTGGGTCTTATATTTGACATGTCTAACAAGCAGGTATTGCTATTGCTGCTACTGCTCTGAGAAACACTTTATACAGAAGGTTCTAGTTTATCCCATTGTTTCTTCAGTTGAAATTTTGATAATTGGCAATAAACAATCAAATAACTTATGCTTTATTCCTAATAAAAAGGATGATATTTTATATGAGTTCCGTAAGTATATCGAGGTGACACTGTAAGAAAGCTGAGACAGTTCAATAGGATTATATTTTTAAATCTTAATTCATCTAGAAAAGGAGAATTTTTCTTGAATCAGTTAAGTTTAAATGAAAAAAAAATTGTGTGATTTAAATGTCTTCATAATTAGAGATTATTTGAATATCTAGTGATAGATTCTAGACCATGCCCTCAGACTTTCTGGAAACAGGAAGTAATTATGGAGACAATTACCTCAACTAAGAAGAGGCATGCATTTTTTGACTTGGTTGCTCTGCACTGCTCCTATTTAAAAATTAGTATTTGTTGTAAAATAAGTACTCAAAAAATTGGTGGATGAATGAGTAAATCAAATAAGTCAGGAAAAGACAGCACTGTTCAAAAAGTTAACGAACAAAAATAGGTTGAAACAAATATAAAGATGTTCAGGAACATCATTCAGAGCCTAAAACCACTTAAATGATTTGTGTAATGACTACATTAGCAGTCATCGAATATTTGAATGAATTTAGATGGGCATATAGAAAGATTCTTCAGTCTAAGCTGCTGAATTTTCACATTACTTTCTAATGTATTTTAGTAAACAAGAAATTTATGAAGTCTAAGCATGAATGCTTTCTTGATGCCCAAATAAACTAGATTAAATATATTTGCAAGGAATTCTGACTTCAGGGAGAAAGAAATAGAATATGATCCTTGGCATAACAATGGGACAAGGGAAATTAAAAAATAAGAAGAATAAGAAGGCTTCAGCTCTTTTTAAAGATCTTCTTTAATACTTTTCTACAATGATCTCATTTCTTTATATGTGCTTTTAATGTCACTCAATTGTGATAACAATGTTCTAAAGAAACTTCCCTTTGGTGCAACAATAATGAAATAGCCTACCCTGAATCTTTGCTTTATCATTCTAGTAATCATTTCTAGAAGAGAAAGTCTGACTACCTGGATTCATTACTTGTAATATGCCAAATCCTGGTGACAGTTCAAATAACATAAAAATGACAAAAAAGAGCAAGACTATAATTAAAGTAGGTATAATGAAAATAAGAAAATGAAAATAGATTTTTATGAGATAAAATTTGAGAAATTTAGTAGACGTAATGTGGGAGGATTTCTTTCTTTAGAACAGAGGATATTTTGGTGTAAGATATTAATGAGAGAGAGGGAAGTCATTTCAAACATGCTACATTTGGGGTTGTGAGGTTACCAGAGGAATGTTTCTACTACTGAATAGAAAGTTTTTATACTGAGTTTGAAGCTGAGGATAAAAATCTGAGCCAGAGACCGAAATGGCAGGATGATTAATAGTTAATGGAATAGGAAAAAAAAATTCAGTTTTTTTTTAATTTAAAAATAATATCCAGGCAATAATAATATAGAAATACATGGAAGAATGAGGTAGAAAATGGAAAGTAATTTGAGGAGTGGATATCTCCCAGCATTGCTAGCTGATCTGAGGAAGGGGAGAAGATGACACTGGAGGAAGGCAGCTGAGAAGACATCGTCGGGAAGCTATGGAGAGCACTGAGTCACCAAAGGCAGGGAAGGAGAGGTCAAGGATGAAGCAGTATTAGAAGTTTGAGAGACGCAGGTTCAGACATTTGGTGGATGTGCTTGGCTGAGGAGCCAAAGGGGCGAAGCTACCATCTGAGAGATGGAAAGTTGAAATTGTTTCTTTTAGTAAGTTTCAATTTTCATGGAGAAGGACAAAAGCAATATGAACGTAGAAGTTACAGTGGAATAAGGAGCTTGAGGCATGTCCAGAAGGTTTTCTGAATAGCAATGGTAGGGGATGAAACCCGGCAATGAAAAAGCAGCTGCTTACAGACTCCTCTGAGACTGGATCTCACACATCGTGGGGGAGTCAGCCAGCATTATTGGATTTTCAAGCCGTGTTCAGCAGCCCAGACACAAGAAAGGACAAGACTTAAAATAACTGCAATGTGTGAGCTTAGCTTATTGTTGTTTTTTTCAATTTTAGCTATTGTACTACCTACTACCTCACATTTATTTACTGTTCTTTAATGAGAGGAAGAACAATAATGTATTTCAAATGATGTTTTAAAAGTTTTAACTTTAACAAATCAAGAAAATAATGTCAACACAAACATGATCTATAATGACTCTATTTGCCTTCTTTGTTGACTGTTAACAGAAACTAGAAATGATACTGACCTAAGATCTTCAGCTCCGCGTTGGCATAAATGGCTCCATGAGTGTTTTCAGCTATGCACTGGTACATTCCAGCATTGTCAAAAGTCACATCATATAGTCTCAATTCTCCTTTATGATACTGAAAAGAACACCAAATAAGACACATTCCCTTAAAAAACTTGAGTAGAAATGCCTCCATTTCAGTGTAGGCTTGGTTGTCTTTTATTTACATTATTTGTGCCACCACTGTTAACTCCTAAGTCGAGTGGAGTTGGGGTGTTCATGGCAGGGGGAGTGGCACCACTTACTCTTGTCTGATACATCCCACAGAGCTGAGAGTTCACCTTCTCCCTCCTGCCCAGCTAGGAGATTACAGTGAGAAGGCCCCACTATTGCTACTTGTCCCTAGGGCCAAAGATAGGAGCCTGGCTCTTACCTCTATTTCTGTGGGTTCAGGAGAAGAGTGGCAAGAAAAAGAGGACAGTATCACGTAGTGGAGTTGGATGAGCAGGAAGAGGGTAAAATGTGGAAAAAGGGTGCCTCCCTGCTGGCGCAAGGGGTTGGTACACAATCTGAAGCTATCCGCTGCCACCGCAGCGTGAGTTTGATCCCCGTCCGGCCAGGGAAGAACCCACATGGTGTGGCAGACCTCTCCTGCCTCACCTACTGTTCCCCTCAGCAGTGTTTTTCCATCAGTCTGCCTGTTCTGTTCCCCACTCTTTCTCTGGTGGATCCTCTCACCCACACACCTGGCCTGTACTCCAGTTCTTGTATGCATAAATAGATAAATCTTTTTTTAAAAAAAGTGGAAAAAAGGAAAAAAATAAGGAGGAAGCGTGAGAGAGAACGGAGACATCAGATTACAGTAAGTTGTTTAGGCTGAAAGAAGCAACTTTATGTTCATTCTCGTTTGCTGTATTTAGTAGACATGGTGTTTCAGGGTTCTAGGTGTCCTTACTCTATTCCCACTCTTTCTAAATTTATCCCAGGACCACCTGGGGATGTTGCCTGATTATGGACTCCAGAATTATTGTATAAAGCACTTGAATGACACATACCGCATATCCATTTTTCAGCCATCGGATGCTGGGGATGGGCTTCCCTGTGGCCACACAAGGCCAGTAGAGGTCACTCCCTATATCCACTTCAGTGTCATTGATGTGTTCTACCCACTCTGGATACGCTAAACAAGAAAGAACATTGTATATGTAAAATGCAAGTTCCAACACAAGTCACAATTTCAAGGGTACAAACATTACCTGTAGTTGGGGTCCTGAAGAGTATACCAGATATTTTTTATGTCCGAAAACCAAGATTAGAGCCACTGGATTGCATTTCTATAGGTAAATTTTATCCTGCATTATAACAGCATGTGGTAACTATAATTCAAATCTTTTTTTTTTTCTATTGGTGGACCATTTTTTGGGAGGTAAATTCATGAACAGCACTACAATTATTTGTCATTTTTCTAAGTCTTTCAAAATGACCACTAAAGTTCTAAAGAATTATCTCCATTTACTATGATACTCTCTTTTCTCTGTTTGGATAAAGTTGTAATCTCTTCCACTCCCTCGGGTATATGTTGCCTCTTAATGGATCTCTTGGCTAGTGGCCACTGTAATATCTTATTGCAGAACTAGAAAAAGGACTTGATAACTTAAATATCCATTCACTACTGGAAATTACATAGTAGCTATCATTGATAAAAATCTATGAGTCAATTAAATTGATTTCAACCTCATCAGTTGATCTAATCTAGTAGAACTTGCTAAGAGAGGAGAAAATGCTAGGAATTCCCTAAAAGAAAAAAATATTCTTCAATAAGATGCAAATTAATAATCAGATCATCTTCATGAATATTTAAATTGTTTGAGTAAGTCCAAATAGTTGTAGATAAATAAATATGTAACAAAATAAGTAGAAGAAGAAAATCTTGAGTGGAAGGTAGTATTTCATTTAATTTTCTTTGAAAATGAAAACTTTTATTATATTCACTATGGCAAAAGTAATTTATATATCTTGTTAGAGAATATTCAATGTGTATAAATAAATAGAACATAAAACATTTGTATAATCTCACTGAACTTTATCAACATTATGTTATATACATAATAGAGTGATAAATATTTTTATAATACATACAGCCTGCTTCAGTATATTTTTCAGTTATTGCATTTTCTCTGTAACATAGGAAGACAATTTTAAAAGCTGAATAACTATTAATTGATAGAAGTTTTATTTTTTATACAATCAAGTCAACACACAACACAGGAGTATCACTGCTTTCCTGCCATAACTTCACACAGATCACACAGAGATGCCACTTTCGAAAATATAATGAGAAGATATAATTGAATAAATTATTGAATCAGCTTGATATATTCTGTATATGGTTTAATTATGTAGCTTTCTGCTTGTTTGATTAGATCAAAAGATAAAACTTGGAGTGCCTCATTAGAAAAGAGAAAAAGTTCCCTTAAATTAACACCTATAAATATCAGCTGTCACCTTGATTCCTTTAAAGAATTAGAAATTAGTACAGAATTCACTCTTTTAAGAACCTGGGATACAGTTTCCTGGGGGTCTTACATATGATATGAATACAGTATGTACCTCAAGGTCAGAGAAAGTACTTCCTTTACCTATCCTTGCTCCTAGCATGGTGTCTACCACTGAGCAAATACCCAATACATGACTATCCACTCAATGATCTTGTCAAAGACTCAGGTGTATCTTCAATGGGACAGACAAGTTTCCAACTGTGGAGTATTAAAATGATCATTTCAGCCTGAAAATGTTCAAGTGTTTCTTCAAAGACAACATTTGATCCTCCCAAATATAAGTTTATTTTGATGTGTGATAACAAAACACTTGTGCCATAAAAATTGTGTCAAAGAGGGCCTCCCTGGTGGCCTAGGGGTTAAGTCTCAGCACTATCACCACTGTTGCCTGAGTTCATTCCCCAGCCAGGGAGCTGACCCACATGGAGCAGCAGACCTCTCCTGTCTCATCCACTGCTCCCCTCAACAGTGTATTTCAGTAAATCTGCCTGTTCTGCTCCCCACTATGTCTCTGCTGAATCTTCTCACCCCCTGTACCTCTGGCCTACACCCTAGTTCTTCTATCCCAAAAGAAAAAAATCTTTAATTAAAAAAAAAAAAGAAGTGTTAAAAAAAATGTTCCCTTAAACCAAACTTCCTAAAAGTGTGACTCCTAAACTAATTTGTATAATTGCATTTCCTAGAAACTTCTAAACAGACCTTCTAAATCTGAAACTCTGAGGACCCAGAACCAGCAATCTACATTTTAATAAGCTTTCCAGGTAATCTGGTGCTTGCATATTAAAGGCATAAATTAAGTCAGAATGCATAGGTTCTTCTACAAATGATAGCTATTCAAAAAGAGGAAGAAGGTAGTAAAAAACTGTATCAATTGTATGTTCTGAAATTATCAGGAACATCTTTTCAATATATTGGTATTACTATGATACTAACAAGTGCATAACTTCTATAATTAATATTTATGACTTAATTAAATATAACACAAATATTTCATCCTTTTGTATAACATTCTATACATCACCGTTTTTCAACTGTTAATCTTTATATCCTAATTTTTTAAGTATGGAATGTCTATAAATAAGATATTCATGAAATTTATATTAAACTAAAAACCCACCTTGAACAAATTCTTGCTTGGTGTTTGTCCTTTCCTCTAATGTTCTCAGCCTCACATTCATATACCCCTTCATCTTCTAACTGAATATTGAAGATCTTGAGGACAGCCCCAGAGGTGCTAAGCTCAGCAGTGCTTGGCATTGGTTCTAGAACTTTCCGCCACCGGATATCAGGAACTGGACTTTAAATAGGAGATAATAAGAGTTAAGGGTCTACAATGCTTACAAAGCAATCACTTATGCTTCTATTGTATACACATTCACATCACTTATTTCCTAAAATTGTACAAAAAAATTAATGCACTTCTATTATGTTAATGAAAAATGTCAGTATACTTACTTGCCAAGGGCAAAACACTCTAAAGTCACATTTTGGCCCATCAGTGCATATATGTCCTTGAACTGAACTACTATATCAGCAGGATATGGCTTTGTTGTTCCTAATATTAAAGAAACACAAACACACAAATTATTAAGCAGAAAAAGGCTTTTAACATGATTCTGTAAGATTAAAACTATTTCTTTTTTTTTAATATTTATTTTATATATTCTTACATCATTTTTCATTTTTGCACAATGTATGCATTTTCATTTTGGTTATATTCCCCATACAATTGTACACCTCCCTTATTTTAACATTAGTCCTTCCTCTCCCCACCCATCCCCCCCCCCCATAGTTTGTCTCTGGTTTATAGTTGCTTGTTGATTTGATTTTACTTTGTATTTAATCAGTTTTTTCCTGGTCCCTTTTTTAGGTTTTCTAAAGTCCTGCTATGAGTGAGACTGTCCAGTATTTTTCTTTTCTTTTCTGGCTTATTTTTTTTCTTTTTGATAGTTGTGTAACTACATGGTAATGACTAAAACTTCAATAAGTTTTTAAGGAGGATCTAATATGTGTAAAATATTTGCGCTGCGTATTTATGAAGGGTCACTCAGGCTGGAAGAGAAGAAAGGAAATGAGGTATAAGGAAAAGGAAAAGAGGATGAAAAAGAAAGAGGACATAAGCAAAAAGAAGAAAGAAGTATCTAGGAGATGAAAGCAAAAGAAAGAATGTTGAAAAGAGGAAGGGAAGAGAAATGAAGAAAAATGCTTATCAAGACATCACTGTTCTTATCAATGTAGACAATTAATTGAACTGATATCAGCTCTGAAAGATGTATCAGTTTCTTAATCATACAGGATAAAAATAGGTCACTGTTTCCAATGTATTCTTTGGGATCACACCATGAATTTTGTACTTAGCAATATATAATGCTAAAGACAAATTGATAGACAGTGTACTGAAATGAAGTCAAAGAAAAATAAAATGTCTGAAAGAGTGACAGCCAAGGAGAACAGTATGAAGGCCTAGGAAAATTTCAGCAAGGCTAGCATTTGAACTGGTCTGGTTCAGACAGAGAGAATAACATGATAATGCCTAAGGGTATGTTGGGATTTACAAAGGCCTAGAATTCAAATTACATTGAAGTAGATGTAATGGATCTGAGCTTGAACCTACAATCTGGAAGGTTTACATGAAGCTGTTAAAATTAAATATTTTGAGACCAATTTCCTTGATAGCCAATTAGCAATGGGTCGGGCAAGAGAAGTCATATTACTCTTCTCTTTTATTTATTTGTTATTTTTTAAAGATTTTATTTTATTTATTGATTTATGCATACAAGAATTGGGATGTAGGCCAGAGGTGGAGGGTGAGAATATCCACCAGAGGCAGAGTGGGGAACAGAACAGGAGGATCTACTGAAATCCACTGTTGAGGGCAGCAGCAGGCCTGAGAGGTCTGATAGGAGAGGTCTGCTGTGCCATGTTGGTCAGCTCCCTGGCCAGGGATTGAACTCAAGCTACAGTGTCTGGCAATAGCTTGATAGCATTGAGACTTTAAGCCCTGTACCATCAGGGTGGCCCTTATCTTCAATTTAAGTAGAAGACCTTGTGGTAATTTTAAGGGATGGAGCATGGAGAAAGAAAATATAGAAGAGAGTAAGAAATCTAAAGGAAGCTGTTTCATTCATACAGGCAAAACAGGCAAGGGTCTGAGCCAGGACATAGTCACAGTAAAACCAGAAAGGAAAGAATTAATATAAGTTGTATTTTAGGAGAACCATGAACATGCCCCGTGATTGGTATTTTCTCAATTATAGATTAAAATCCAATTCACTAGAATCCTCTGTGAAGCTGGTTCAGATTCCCAGGTCATACCCCAAGCCTGGTGATCATGTCTTAGGTTTGGACATTTTATCAAACTTTCAGTATGCTTACTACTAGTTGAGAACCCTTGGATTCACTGCCCTGATGATGGAAGAGACAAGTTGACTAAAATTCTATCCTAAGTTCATAGAAAATGACAGTATTGCTAAATGAGATGAACACTAAAAGGTGAGGTTCAGAGGGAAGATAGCAGGAATGTATGGAATGTTTTGATCTTAACATCCTTGAGAACCTTCTGGGTGAAAAGTCCAGGGGGCAGCCTAACTACCAGCAAAGTTCTGGAAATGTGAATTTGGAGTCATCCTGATAGGATTATAGTTGAAAAGGTATAAACGGTGGAGAATATCTGGAAAGATCAGAAACTTAACAATGAAGATATAGTGAAGGACACCACATAGAATTTATCAGAGAAGTGGGAAGGAGATGAAAATTGAGTCAGTGAAAGGAGTCAAGAGATGTATAATGTCATGCAGAAGGTTCATATAGAATCAAGACTCAAAGTGTCCTTTCAATTTAGTGAGTAAGTCATTTGATCATTCAAAATTGTTGCATTGAATATAAAAGAATATGCAGAGGGAAAAGAATTGAGGGCAGAGGATGAAAAATTAGAAGAGAGAGGAGTAAGAGGTGAGGTGAACATTCAATATGAAATCAAATGGGATGTAAACTAG